GATCATAATATTAAAACATTTATCTGTCAAAAATTTATATAGCAATTCTTGCACGTAAATAATATTACGATCATTAACAACGAATATCACGACTGCAACATTATTAAACATTAATAAAATTTTAGGGGATTTTTTATGAGTTCAAAAAAGAGTGATCGAGAGAATATATAGAAGTAAAACATGTAGCAGAAATATTTATTTAACATTTTTTTTAGACTAATAATATTTGCATTTACAATTTTTATAGCAAATATTGAAGAAATTAACAGACATCAACAACAATTGAGAAAACAAAATGAATTCAAATCAAAAAAATCTAAATCACCGGCTTAATAATTGTACACAAACAAAATATTATGAGATCTTTCCCATCTTCATCATATTTGATCATTAACATGTACAAAAACATCAACAACAATCAAATCAAAAATAAACAATTTTTTTTTCATACTAAACTAATTTCAAGTTCGAGTATAAATAAGTTGAAAAATTAAATTAACACTTTATTCGTCAGACGTTTTTTGTGTTAAAGAGTCATTGAGCCATAATGAAATTTGCCTCAATCATATTATTTGCTCTCTCCTGTTCTTTAATTTTGATGGCTCAAACGCCCAGTGTTTCATCCCATTTGGTAGTGGTACGTCCAGTTCCTGTCTATTATTCTCGACCATCTTACTATTATAGTAGACGTCCGTATACTACACATTATCATCGCCATCATCATTATTATCATGGAGGCTACTATGGAGGTTATGGTTATATCTAAAGGATATCTAGTGGACTTTACATATTGGATTATATTGGGATTATAAGTGATATTTTGATATTGAAAAAAAGTGTATTTTTTAGTGTAAAGATTAATTTATAGTGTAAAATAAATGTGAAAGAAATTAATTGTGTTTTTATTCATATAAGTAGTGCCGTAGTTGGAACGATTTTTTTGTACCTCAAATTTTTAATAAAGATGTATATATGTATTAAATAAATAACATTAACAACGTTAGAAAATGTTTGGTTCGAAATTGTGGGAATAAGGTTAATTATAACCCGATTTTCAATATATTTTACAGTATGACTTTTGGAATGATAATACTCACTAACAAAATATGTTTTTAACCTATAAAGAAAACACTTTAGCAATTTCTATGCAATATGACAAATTTCTTTCCAAAAAAAATCTATCCGATCTTTCTTGAGAAAAGAATAAAAGTGTTTATATTTTTATTGTCAAACAATTAAGTTACCAATTAAGTTTGTGACTACTGAATAGCAAAATTTCCGTTCTATGTATATCTCTATTAACATTTAAAAGCTTTTGCCTTAAAAGCTTTACGTTGAAAGCTTTTAAGAAATGCATTTCATGAACCCTAAAAAATATGAATTGACCTTGACCATAAAAAGAGAAAAATCAATAAAAAGCGTTAACTATGCACAACAGGCATGGAAATTTCAGTGCATTACAACTTTTTTGATATTGAAATATGTCTATATCTAGTCTATAGTCTAGTCTATAGACTAGTCTATAGTCTAGTCTATAGTCTAGTCTATAGTCTAGTCTATAGTCTAGTCTATAGTCTAGTCTATAGTCTAGTCTATAGTCTATAGTCTAGTCTATAGTCTAGTCTATAGTCTAGTCTATAGTCTAGTCTATAGTCTAGTCTATAGTCTAGTCTGTAGTCTAGTCTATAGTCTAGTCTATAGTCTAGTCTATAGTCTAGTCTATAGTCTAGTCTATAGTCTAGTCTATAGACTAGTCTATAGACTAGTCTATAGTCTAGTCTATAGTCTAGTCTATAGACTAGTCTATAGACTAGTCTATAGTCTAGTCTATAGTCTAGTCTATAGTCTAGTCTATAGTCTAGACTATAGACTAGACTATAGACTAGACTATAGACTAGTCTATAGACTAGTCTATAGTCTAGTCTATAGTCTAGTCTATAGACTAGTCTATAGACTAGTACCTAGTCTATAGTCTAGTCTATAGTCTAGTCTATAGTCTAGTCTATAGTCTAGTCTATAGTCTAGTCTATAGTCTAGTCTAGTCTATAGTCTAGTCTAGTCTAGTCTAGTCTAGTCTAGTCTAGTCTATAGTCTAGTCTAGTCTAGTCTATAGTCTAGTCTAGTCTATAGTCTAGTCTAGTCTATAGTCTAGTCTAGTCTAGTCTAGTCTATAGTCTAGTCTAGTCTATAGTCTAGTCTAGTCTAGTCTATAGTCTAGTCTAGTCTATAGTCTAGTCTAGTCTATAGTCTAGTCTAGTCTATAGTCTAGTCTAGTCTATAGTCTAGTCTAGTCTATAGTCTAGTCTAGTCTAGTCTATAGTCTAGTCTAGTCTATAGTCTAGTCTATAGTCTAGTCTATAGTCTAGTCTATAGTCTAGTCTATAGTCTAGTCTATAGTCTAGTCTATAGTCTAGTCTATAGTCTAGTCTATAGTCTAGTCTATAGTCTAGTCTATAGTCTAGTCTATAGTCTAGTCTATAGTCTAGTCTATAGTCTAGTCTATAGTCTAGTCTATAGTCTAGTCTATAGTCTAGTCTATAGTCTAGTCTATAGTCTAGTCTATAGTCTAGTCTATAGTCTAGTCTATAGTCTAGTCTATAGTCTAGTCTATAGTCTAGTCTATAGTCTAGTCTATAGTCTAGTCTATAGTCTAGTCTATAGTCTAGTCTATAGTCTAGTCTATAGTCTAGTCTATAGTCTAGTCTATAGTCTAGTCTATAGTAGTCTATAGTCTAGTCTATAGTCTAGTCTATAGTCTAGTATATAGTCTAGTCTATAGTCTAGTCTATAGTCTAGTCTATAGTCTAGTCTATAGTCTAGTCTATAGTCTAGTCTATAGTCTAGTCTATAGTCTAGTCTATAGTCTAGTCTATAGTCTAGTCTATAGTCTAGTCTATAGTCTAGTCTATAGTCTAGTCTATAGTCTAGTCTATAGTCTAGTCTATAGTCTAGTCTATAGTCTAGTCTATAGTCTAGTCTATAGTCTAGTCTATAGTCTAGTCTATAGTCTAGTCTATAGTCTAGTCTATAGTCTAGTCTATAGTCTAGTCTATAGTCTAGTCTTAGTCTAGTCTAGTCTAGTCTAGTCTAGTCTATAGTCTAGTCTATAGTCTAGTCTATAGTCTAGTCTATAGTCTAGTCTATAGTCTAGTCTATAGTCTAGTCTATAGTCTAGTCTATAGTCTAGTCTATAGTCTAGTCTATAGTCTAGTCTATAGTCTAGTCTATAGTCTAGTCTATAGTCTAGTCTATAGTCTAGTCTATAGTCTAGTCTATAGTCTAGTCTATAGTCTAGTCTATAGTCTAGTCTATAGTCTAGTCTATAGTCTAGTCTATAGTCTAGTCTATAGTCTAGTCTATAGTCTAGTCTATAGTCTAGTCTATAGGTCTAGTCTATAGTCTAGTCTATAGTCTAGTCTATAGTCTAGTCTATAGTCTAGTCTATAGTCTAGTCTATAGTCTAGTCTATAGTCTAGTCTATAGTCTAGTCTATGGTCTAGTCTATAGTCTAGTCTATGGTCTAGTCTATAGTCTAGTCTATAGTCTAGTCTATAGTCTAGTCTATAGTCTAGTCTATAGTCTAGTCTATAGTCTAGTCTATAGTCTAGTCTATAGTCTAGTCTATAGTCTAGTCTATAGTCTAGTCTATAGTCTAGTCTATAGTCTAGTCTATAGTCTAGTCTATAGTCTAGTCTATAGTCTAGTCTATAGTCTAGTCTATAGTCTAGTCTATAGTCTAGTCTATAGTCTAGTCTATAGTCTAGTCTATAGTCTAGTCTATAGTCTAGTCTAGTCTAGTCTATAGTCTAGTCTATAGTCTAGTCTATAGTCTAGTCTATAGTCTAGTCTATAGTCTAGTCTATAGTCTAGTCTATAGTCTAGTCTATAGTCTGGTCTATAGTCTAGTCTATAGTCTAGTCTATAGTCTAGTCTATAGTCTAGTCTATAGTCTAGTCTATAGTCTAGTCTATAGTCTAGTCTATAGTCTAGTCTATAGTCTAGTCTATAGTCTAGTCTATAGTCTAGTCTATAGTCTAGTCTATAGTCTAGTCTATAGTCTAGTCTATAGTAGTCTATAGTCTAGTCTATAGTCTAGTCTATAGTTTAGTCTATAGTCTAGTCTATAGTCTAGTCTATAGTCTATTCTATAGTCTAGTCTATGGTCTACTCTATAGTCTAGTCTATAGTCTAGTCTATGGTCTAGTCCATAGTCTAGTCTATAGTCTAGTCTATAGTCTAGTCAATAGTCTAGTCTATGGTCTACTCTATAGTCTAGTCTATAGTCTAGTCTATAGTCTAGTCTATAGTCTAGTCTATAGTCTAGTCTATAGTCTAGTCTATAGTCTAGTCTATAGTCTAGTCTATAGTCTAGTCTATAGTCTAGTCTATAGTCTAGTCTATAGTCTAGTCTATAGTCTAGTCTATAGTCTAGTCTATAGTCTAGTCTATAGTCTAGTCTATAGTCTAGTCTATAGTCTAGTCTATAGTCTAGTCTATAGTCTAGTAGTCTATAGTCTAGTCTATAGTACTCTATAGTCTAGTATTTTCAGTATTACGAAAGGTATTATTTTTGTTAAAAATTTGCATTTTCCAAGCCTGATGCACAAGGAAAATTCAAATAAAGAGCAAAGGAGAGAGAAATAGTAGTGTAATTCCCCTTAAACGAATTTTAAATGCCCTACAATAGTTATTCTAAATAGAAAAGGTGTTGCTTTTAGCTATAGTTTTCTATACAAAAAAAAAATGTCTCTATTTTTACGGTTTTTCTTAAAGGTATAGATATTTGTTAATGTTTTTCTAAGACAAACTGTCGCTTTAAGCAAAGACAAACTCCTGGGAAAAAAGACATTAATTTCTGACTCTAATTACAAACAACATAATGAATTAATATTACCTAGGATTACAGTAAAGTAACCATATTGCAGTTTCTGCAGCACACAATAAAAATAGTAAATTGTGAATGTCAAGGTTAAAGAAAAACGTGATAAAAACAAAAACATATTAAACGTTAGCAAGGGAAATGTTAGAAATCAAAAATAGAATTAAATTAGCACAAATACGCGAAGGGATTTAACCATATAAAAAGCAAAACAAATAAATTTCCTATAAATTATTTAAGCAGCCTAAAAGTATGCAAAGTTTTCTTTAATTAAGTGTTAATATTTTACTGTTAAATGTTCGAAAACTGTTAAAATGAAAATCAATTTTTATAGCGCCCACCAGTAGTGAAAATTTGTGCATTTGTTTATAAAACAAAAAGTAAAGATATTTTTGCAGTGAAAAAAAACAACAACTTTGTGTAAATTTTTGTAAATTTGTTGGTAAACAATAAGTTGGTATTACCTCATAGAAATTGACCGAGAAATTTGTTTTTAAACAAAACAAAAAAAAAGTGAAATTGTTTTCGTATTTTTTTTTTTTTTTTCTATAAACAATTAGTTTTTTATTTTCTTATTATTTCAAGTTTCTAATTTCGTTATATTTTGTGGTTGTTGGATTTTATTTTTTGATGTTTTATTCGTCTTGGCAGATTTCAGAATTTTCTTTTCTTCATAAATGCAACATACGCGTTTTGATCATGACCGACTAAAGAACAATTGTGAGCAACAAAGACAAAATTTAAAAAAATAAAAAAACAAAATTTGTGCTAATTATTTTTTATTGTGAGAAAAATAAAAGAAAATTTAAACTGAATAAGGAAAATCGCCAATTAGACAAAAAAAAAATTGTGTTAAAAATACTATAGCTGTGATATAATTTTTGAAAAAATTTCAAAAACTTTTTAGCAAATTGTGCAATTTTATTCTAAATTTAATAAAAAATTACAACATTTTTTAAACATTTGATCTCAGTTGAACATTTAATTAGCTTAACGCCAAACATGAATAGAAAATGTTTGCACTGGAGCTATTTAAATTTCAGGGACATTCCCATGGACTTGTATTTGTACGAAGATCTCGAAGAGGTTTATCTTAAGGAAAACTATATCTGTGCCATACCCAAATGGTTTTTGAACTTAACCACCTTGAAATTTATACACTTGGCCGGTAATAACATCACTACACTGCCCGATGAATTGTATCTGTTGGAAAATCTTGAATTTCTCGATGTTTCGAATAATCAAATAACTGAGTTACCAGAATCAATGGGTTATATGACGAAATTGTTACACCTGAATGTCAGCTCAAATGATTTGACCGAGTTGCCAAGTAGTAAGTATTATGTTTGTGTGATTAAAGTCTATGAAATCGTCAGTTTATCATAAAATATTCGATATTGAAAACCAACCAAATCAGCCAATGATAATCGAAGATAGGGGGCCCTGCAGATAAAGCAAATTTCTGAAATATTCTCTTTTAAAATGTTCTATATTGAAAATCGTTCATATCAGTCTACAATAGCAAACTAACCGTCCGCCATTAAACATGCAATACGACCTAAACTAAAGGATATCTGCCATTTAGCAGAAATATAAAGTCCTGATTACCCCACCACGATACAATATTCTTCTCTCTACAAATACAAATTTCCAAAGTACCATTACTAACCCCCTCCCACTATTGTGTGTACCATTCTTTATCCCAGTACTTTGACATTTGTTTGTTATTGTTTATTTCTTTGTTTTTGTTTTCATCTTTATTTTTGTTGTAGTCAGTTTTTGCAATAATTTTGTTTAATAATATATTATTAATAATATACTAAATACATATTTCAGTAAAAATATTAATAAATTTAAAAATAAATACAGTACGTTGCACAAATAAATCAACAAAAATTCTTATAAGTTCAACGTCACACTGAGAAGAATCTTCTAGATATAAATAAATCTCACGCGTCGCGTCGATTCTAAAAAAAAAAAAATAAACTAAAAATGACTTAAACCAAGATATTTTTTCAAGAATGCATTAGGCTGCTTGATCTTACATTCATCAACCAATACCTAACTAATAGTGGTCTCAGTTCAGTTCTTATTAGTAAATTCTACGACTACTTAGGAGAGGGGGCTTTTGACAACGTTTTAGTTTGGGTATGAACCACACTATTGAACAAAAGGGTCATTATCTCAGAAATGGGAGCAGTTAATGTCACGATGATCACTAGCTGCGGAAACATATTCACTACTATAAAATCTTGTATTGAAATCCCTTCTCATGTAACTTGGGTCTATAAGTTTAAGGGTCATTGCGTATAATACTATATAGCAAATTATAAAAACAGTACTCAAATCACTTAGTTCCGGGGGTACAAATAGTAGTCTTGGTGTAAATCCATCCAAAATGGAACTTCACCAGAAAATACAAACTACACAGTTTCACTCTTCCCCTCCCAAATGTGAAAGTTATTGGATAATGCAAAATATCTAGGAGTGATCCTGAATTTGAAGCTATCATAGCATTTCTTGAATCGGATGCATCCAGAAGAGTAATAGGGAAGTCCTGGGGTATAAATTCCAAGAATAACAAATGGCTCTTCGACATTGTAGTAAAGCCTATACTATTGTACGGAACCCCCTAACCCGGGACATGTTTTCTTGATGAAAGACCCTCATCTTGGTATATTGTAATCCCGGGGGATAATAAACTGTTGATGTTAAATGTCAAATATATCCTCGGTCATTCCTTGGAATAATTTGACATGGGGTCGTACTAGAGCACCACATAATCTGGTACTGCGGGTGGACCGTTGCCCGCAGAACTTGTCCTGGCTGGTTAGTTGGTTGAGGTTCCTTCGGGATCCACGTAGTGCCTGTGATTTAAACCCAAATTAGCTGGAAGGGGTGCTTAATTAAAAGATTGAAACACGGTGAAAAATAATTTTTCAAGATAAGTTTCTCTTACCGCTCATAGTTTCTAGGAGCGGTACAAACTACAGAGCAAGACTGTGGATTCATAAAATGTCTGATTTGAGCTAATAATGCAAAGATTGGGTATGTGTTGGCGTTCGATGTACTAAGGATAACAGTTGCCCTTCGTATTACTCCAGCAAAGGGCTCTTTTTATCA